TAAAGTGCAAATCAAATAATAAATTACATAGGAAATCAAATAACATAGGATACAAGGAACTAAATTACATAGGAAATCAAATAAGTTGACAATAACATGTGATCGATCTCCAAACAATTATCCTAAATTCTAAGGGACAAAACTTAATCTTTAAAGGCAAAGTGTATCGTCGATACTAAATCAATGTATAATGACGTAAACCATGGTCATGTGTGATCAGGCAATTAAATTATAGCTATTACAGTTTACCAAACTATTAAATATAATATCTAATGCTACGGATTAAAATGCGCAGATTACTTTCTCACTAATTATGCAAATTTATATTTGTTCTACTATTTGACATAAACCAGCAGGGGATGACAAAGAGATACACAAATAACTTATTCTATAATATATATATATATATATATATATATACACACACACACACACACATTGGTGAAGAGGGGAAGGAGGTTATGGCTAGGGAAGGGATTTAATGAAAGCCAAATAGCTGACATTAATCGTGCTAAAACAATGTATAATGTATAGCTCTTTTTATATAAAAAAAAATTAAATTAAATTAAATAACAACAGTTTGCAGCATAGAGACTTTCCTTTTAACATGAAAACTTTATAGTCAACACAAACCAACTACAGTAACAACTTTCCAGAATACTTGACCCTATCAAACTTATTAATTTACATGAAGTTTTGGTTGTCATAGTTCATACTAATAATCCTAGTTCATATTTCGCATTAGCTTACACAACCAAGCCTTAGCCTATTGGTTTAGCTATTTCTTTTCATCTATGGAGAGATCAGGAGTTTGATCCCGTAGGACGTCAATTTTTAGAAACAAAAAGAGCTCTAAAATTCATTAAAATTCAGAGCCTATTGGGATCGAACCCTTGATCTCAAACATGATAGTCAGTCGCTTAACAGTTAGGCTACGAGTCAAGATTAAGCTTTAGGCTACAGATAAATAATTTCCAGGCGGTGTCATTACTGTTTATATGCAGTAATTTGCGTATTAATTATACATGTGTGTTTAAAATTTTTCGACGAAGCGGTGTCGGATGACACCACTTAATATAAAGTGCATCCGCCCATGTAAACCAGTAAGCAAGGTGATTATCAGCCGCAACTATACATAACTATTCCTAAAAATAGATGTAAATATGAAGCATAAGCATGTCAAAATTTGTATAACAGAAAATTCAATTTGATAAAAAATATTGAGACAAACGCACAGGATCCATTAAATAGAGCGAAGTCTGTAACTAAGCTTCATTAGCCATTAATGGTACTATCAACCGATTAACTTTTGGAGCTAATTTCTCTTCACACCATAGACACCCTCCTTTTGCTGGGAGATTTCATCAGACACAACTCACAAGTGGCGTCGAAGTTCTTCCCTTTGTCATTACTATTTTTGTTCTAGATGGCAATTTTCAAGAAATAGCAGAGAACAACTATGCAGAACTCAGAATCCACATATGCTAATTATTGCTAATTAATGGCAAAGCTGGAGAAATTTTGATATAAATGCAGAACCAAAGGCAATATAGAGAATGAGTGACTAAAAGAAAAAAAATAGCTTTGTAATTGAAAAATCTGAACACGAAGAACACCAAATTTTTCCATGTAATGAGTGAAGACATCTAGTGGATTAAGCTCTTTTAATAGAAAACCATAACATCATGATTTTTGGAGTACTTCGAGTGAATTCACATAAAAACATAAGAGGGGAAAATATATTACCGGGAGAAATCTAAGCAGAGAAATGTTCCTAATCTGATGTGAGTACAGAGAAGTTTTTTCGCTAGTTTACTTTTGCGAAATCGTAGTTGCACCATATAGAACTTCTTTCCTTAGGTTTTTCTTATTTGGAAGAAATGTAGTTGGAAAAGAGATCTTTTTACCTTATTGAAACAAATTTTTTTTTGGTTCCTGACTTTTTGCTTTCGCGGGAAACAAAACTTTGCAGACTTTGGTTTTCCCCCTCTGTTTTCCGAAAAAGATTAATTTTATTATATTTAAGAATTTAAATTACAGTTTTTGTGGCGACTAAGTCGCCGCGCATTCTTATACATGGCGACTATCTATGAATTACTACTAAAACTTTTACATCAAATTTTTATTTTTGCGGGAAAGTAAAATTTAGCGGTATAGTTACAAGTATTTGTTGCGACCTAAGTTTATTTGTCACTAAAAGTACCCTTTTCATTGCAACTATGATAGTTGTCACCAAAGGTGTAATTATTTGTGGCAAATTTAATACATCGCCACTAAATCACGTACTTTTTGTGGCGAATAATATAGTCGTTGATGAAATCCGTCACTAAAAACCTCATTTCTTGTAGTGGTTATCCATGCGGATTCAGATCTTGATACTTTAGCACGTGAGTTGTCTGTGCGGATTATAGCGCTTTGGCTGAAGGAGCCCCTCCGAAGTCTGCACACCCCCAGTGAGCGCAATTGCTAGCAGTTATTATGTTTGGGCTAGATCTGCCTTGTTCGGTACTGTGTGACTGTGTGTGGCGAGTGATTGAGCGTGATGAGTGGAAAGTATGAGACAGTGAGATTGAGTACTCTGAGAGTGTGAGTGCATGAGTTCATCACTGAGAGGCATTGTATTTGACATGCGTACTTGAGATACATGCATAAAGATGCATTTCCTTCTGCTATCCGGTTTTTGGTGACATTTATGATTTCACTTGCTTATTAACATGTAGGTATAGAGATGTACTTTCCTCATGCTATCTGAAAATAAAACATCTTAATTATTGTTGAAAGATTTTTGGAAAATTTCACAGTTTTCAGACTTACTCATAATTTTGGTGATTTCAGTGAAAGAATTGAGAATTTTCTGTTATACTTGAAAAGTATGCCTATTTTTCGTAACTATTAACGAGTTGAGCATCTTATCTCTGAGTTATTTTCTTGTTCCATTTTTATTATATTGTTTTGAACCGTGGTGGGTTATTGGAATTGGACTCGGACCCTTGTCCCAGATCGTCACTACTTTCAACCTAAGGTTAGGTTTGTTACTTATTGAGTACATGAGGTCGGTTGTACTCATACTACACTTCTGCACCTTGCGTGCAGATGTTGGATGTTGACATTGCTGTGTGCAGATGTTGGATGTTGACGTTGCTGCATACAACGGGAGCTGGATATGAAGATATACTTGCGTCCCAGTCATAGCTGCCTCTTCATCCTGGTAGCCTTAGTATTTCAGATATGTTCATGTATATTTCAGACAGATGATGTATTTTATTTCAAACCTGCTTTGTAAACTCTATATTAGAAGCTCATGATTTGTACTATTAGTCCGTGGGGAGTTGTATAAAATTCAGTTATCTCATCTTTGATTCACATCAGTGTTATTATATTATGTTATTTTGTTAATTGGCTTACCTACCGGGTTGGGTTGACGGTTTGAATTTTGGGTCGTGACAGTACTCATGTAGTACTACCTTCATTCTTTTTTACTTATCCAATATACAACAAAACAAATTAAATTCTAAAATCATCTCTGATTTTTGCTCCATGCACGTCATTGGTGGGAGTCCATCTTGTTTTATACGTGGGCTAATTAGTTTGGATCACTCCTTCATGTAGTAAATGCTGCAATCACAGGAAAAATTGTATAAATTGTTTATTGTTAGGATAGAGATATATGGTATAGATAGCTCACTGCCTAGTATTTACTACTCCTATAAAGAATGGCAAATACTAACATTTATATGAAATTATGTCGCAAACTAGATTGAAAATAGCTGAACACTGAAAACAAAAAAACAAAAATTCAATCGTATGAATCAGAAGATGAATTCTAAGAAGATTACAAAACTAAAAATTATAGTATAGTATAAGATTACTGTTGATCGAACAGTCTTGATATTACAATTGTCTTCTGGAATTTATGACCTACATTCCGAGTTACTCCTCCTCGTGCATGACACTGAGTCTGGGAAAATATAGGCTATCCAAACACAAGGTGACAGGAGGATACTCATACTCGAAATTGTTCGATATACAAACCTTTGTAACAAATCGTTGTTGTTTAGGATTATAGATGGAGAAATGGTATTTCGTTGGTCCTTTAAATACAATTTCACCATTTCCTCTGCAATACAAAAGCTCACTGTATCTTTCAAAATAATGCTCGCAAAACCCTAATGGTACGTCGCAAAGTTTCATTAACCATTTCCATCCATCTTGTTCCATGATCCAGATGTTTAGTTCATCCGCGGTTTTACCACCATATAAGCAGAGGCAACCTTTCAAAGTAGTCAAACGAAACAATTGATCATCTTCACTTATAAATTTTGGTTTTGGAAGTACCTTCAGTTCGTCTGACTTCACATCAAAATATATAACTGTTGAAGCTTTACATACAAGATGATCAAGTTCTTGATTTAGAGACCAAAATACACAATCCTCTGTGCTAATACCCTGACCATAGTAATATGTCCCTGAATTAGTTGTTCCACTTAAACTAAAAAGACTTTGCTTTACTATAGGAAGAGTTATTTTAGCCGTCCAACAATTGCTATTTCTCATAGACCAAACAACATAAAACTCGTTATAGATCGAAATAATTTTGTAATCATCAGTACTAGAATCATAACACATCCCACAACCATAAGGAAGTATTCTTTCGTCGTCGTCGTCGTAAGCTTCCAGATATGGACATAGGAGAGTTCTTTGTTGTCTGATTGATGGATTCCACAAAATAAATGTCTTATTAGACTTACGTTTCTTCAATAGTACCAATCCATCATGTGAGCATAAAACGTCATGATCATCATTGAATATCTTTAGAGGAAAGAGTTGCCTTTCTATGGCAACTTGTGGACTAATTTCCAAGTCCATAAACCTGAATTCGGAGGTAAAAGCTCTTTGTAACAAGAGTTTTTTACGTCCCAAAGCTTTGGAATGATCACGGTGAGCTTTTGTGAATTCTTCCTCAGAGATTATAGAATTCCATGGTGCAGAAACTGATCGAAAACGTAACAAGGATTTAACAGGTAGATTAATAAGGATGAAATATAAGATATCACATGGAACAATTGATGTACTATCTTCAAAGGCTGGTTTCTTATGTAACTTCGTCTCCTTTGACATTATTATGTGTTGGGGGCAAGTTGTGGCTCAGGAAAAACAGCTTCCTATATATTAGGATTTAATAATATTGGAGAAGGAAGTAACATAGGAGAAGGAAATTGAAATTCAAGACTTGTTGTGAGGGAAAAGAATTCTTTTCCTTTATGGTTTATACTATGAAGATTCTTTCCCACGAACCTTACCAAAACTTAACTTAAATATTTGCTACTTGCTATTCTGTATGTTGCACAAGTCTAACATCATATGTTATAACTAGTAAACAATGGCTAGTATAAGAATTATTTAAAATGTCACTATATATAAGTTTAACCTTTCAAATTAATAATGACTAAGCAAATAGAAAGTAAAATTAATTACTGAGATGGTAATTAAGAGCTTGTTTGGCCAAATTTCTGGGAGGCCAAAAGTACTTTTGAATAAAAGCGCTTTTCAAAATAAGCAATTTTTGGCAGCTTGGCTCTAAATCTTGTTTACCCCCAAAATCGGATAACAATTGAATTTCTAGGTCGTTTTAAGGATACGCGGATTAATTTAACACAAAGAAATAAATTGGATTAATTGAACAAGAAAAGATAAAAATAAATTCAAACCACGTGCACAGGACAGTTTCAGCCTTAGTGAAATGTTCACCCTCGATCCGGGCTCAATGTGACCAGTACTGATGAACGAGATAAGAGCTAATGACATAGAAAAATAATAATATATTACCTTGGAATGCGTGTTACAACGTGTGTTATGAAACATCATACCCCATTTATATAGTAGGGTCTCACTCTAGGTACAATTCTTATAAAAGGTAAAAATCTTCTAATTAACTAATTGCCAGTTTCTTATCGACACGTGCCGAGATCTCCGCCGTGATATCTGGTCGGTCACGAATATCACGGCCTTCTCTTGGTCGTGCTTGATTACCTGACAACATTCTTCGAAGTTATTCGGGACTAGGACCGATCTCGAACCATAAAGCCGATATTCTCGAGGGTGGGCATTATGGTCCCTGACTCCGAGTCGATGAGACCTTTACATCGATTTCGGCCCCTTGCTATCATATCTCGAGCTTGGCTTATCATGCCAGAGATCGGGGTATATCACAAGAGCGGTTTTACCCGTATACAGATAGTCCCCATATTTCTCGGAGAGTAAATGATGAGAAACGACATGAGCTCCTGATTCCTACTTCTATACATCGTGACAGAAATGATGGAACATCCGAAATGTCTCGTCACTCGCGTCATAATGGCATTAAATGCATGTCAGCCGCCGGATGGCTATCCCTGGATGCGAAACGTCACCGAGTTCTTATTGATACCACCTCCTTTGTTCATGTTCACTTTACATCAAACCTTCTACCCTCGTATCCTTAGGATTTCAATACTCTTTAGCATTCTTACCCCCTTTACTCAAGGTCCTTTGCAAAAAATATTGCCCATCTTCTTCTCAAGCCAACAAGTCTAATCCTTCAACTTCTTTTCTTTCTTCGTCTTATCCTAGATTTTCCTCCATTTTTTACTCTCTGAAAGAAATGGCAAAGACTTCAAAAACCGTTCCTCGAAAAGAAGTTCCTTCTACTTTGCGGCCGGCCGTTGAGGTCGAAAAAATCGCTCTGGGCATTGATGAACCAGCATCTAAACCTCTCTTGAAAATGTTCATACCCGGGGGATGCTCGATCGATGATGATTTTAAGGTTGAAAAGCCTTCCTCCATATAGGGTCGGTGCGAGGAGGTCTCGAGATACATCTGCTCGATTACCAAAGAGGTCCTCCCTACGGTCCGAAAGGACTACAACTGGGCCAATAAAAACATAGTGGTCCTCGACCCCGAGGAGGCAATTACCACCTATGTCGAGGGATATCTGAGTGTTTACACTTATCCCTTTACATTGGAGCTAGTGGACCCGGTCATTATAAACTTGTGCAAGAGATACGAGGTATGCCTCGTTCAGATTCATCCTTCAATGTGGAGGATTGTGATCCTCCTTCGGTTTTTTGTGAGCAAGATTGACTCATGCCAATTCACTGTGGATCATCTACTTCGTTTGTACAGTCCCAGAATATTCCAAGGGGGGCTGATAAAGCTGGTGCACCGGGCCAGCAAGGCCCCGTTCTCAAGTATCGATGAGGACTAGGATCGAGGCTGGCAAGGCATTTTGTCCGAGTGAGGACTTCAGACTTGATTCTGGCTGAATGCGAGCTATTCCCCGATAAGTGGAATACATCACGTATATAGAACTTCCCTTCAATCATTTATTTTATGTTTACTTCTCTTCTTTTTATTAGTAATTATGGTGATGTAGCCGTCGTTCGAGTCCCCAATGTTGTCCCTCGACTCAAGGAGTGGGTCGAATGTATTATTTCATAGAGGCCCTACTCCGAGCGCACGTGGCGCAAACTTTCAAAGGGCCATTGGGAGGCTCGTTCTCATGGTAAGATTCCCTTCCCGAATAGGTTGTGTCAGGCCTCTTCTTTTAGCACCAAGTCCTTATTTCTTTTACTTTCTTTCACAGGTTTGCCTAAGAACGTCGAGCTTAAGCCTCTAGCTGGTGGCGAGTACTTTCCTATTGAGCCTCCTACTCCGAGGAGGTCCAGAGAGAAGAAAATAAAGAGGACTCCGAGTTCCCCGAGCTCAGAGAAAAAGAAAACGCGAAGAAGGCTGGTGCGTAAGCCAAAGGAGAGAACCAACTCTCGAGTGCTTGACTCCGGCTCAGGGACGAGTCCGAGGAGGATGATTTTTTTCTGGACCATGTGTCGTCTGTGCTCGAGGAACGGGTGGCAGCCGAGGGGGAAACAACGGAGGCCAATCCCTCTCATGTTCAAGAGGCCGATGCAACAGTGAGGGTTGATAACCCTCAAGACTCCGGTTCTGCCCCGCGCTGTGTCATTGACATAACGGGATCGCCTTTATTCACAAAATTGATGTTCGGTGAAGCTCAAATGACGAAGGAGAGATCGAATGAGGGGGTCCGTGGAGCGAACAATCCCCTCCAATGCTTTTTTGATAGCGTGGATTTCACCGCCATGGAGGACGCCATCGGATTAGGTGATTTAAAAGTACCAAGGAAAAGTTCGCCCTCAGGGGCAGGTGGGTCTAGTTCGAGCCCGAGACTGGTCAACCGGTTCCCATCCCCGAGTGCGGATCCTGGTCGGAAGCGGTCAATTATCATAACCATTCTGGAGGATGCCCAGGTTCTTTCCGCTCCCGTTTTGGGTAGCTAGTTACCTCCGGTGCCTGGTAATTGAAGAAGACCAGGCAAAAATGAACGAGGTGGATTCCCCATGCCTGTTCAACGAAGCACAACAGGCACTGAACCGGGAAAGGTGTTACAAAACCCTTTCATCCTTCAACTTTGGTCATTGGTGATCCTAATATTTCTTCTCATATTTGCAGGCCTCGGTGCTTCACCACAGACCTTTCTTCATTATCGAGATGAGCTGAGCCAATTCGAGATTGAAGACAAAGAGCTCGCTGAGAAGAGAGACATGTACAAACTTCTCAGCGAGCAACGTGAAGGAGAGGCTAAGAGCTTTCAAGCCGAGTTAGACGCGACTCATAAAGAACACTCCGACCTAGTGGAACAGGTAAAAATCTTTGAAGTTAGTGATGATGAGCTAGACACGGTGACTAATAGTCAGAACCCGCAGGTCCAACAGAAGATCGATCGGATAGACCAGCTCCGGGCCGAGATGAACGTAATTAAGGTTGAGAACGAAGAGCGGAAAGGCAAAATGGACCACTTGGCTTCGGAAAAGGAGACTGATCGGGTGCAATTGGCCTCGGCAGAGGCTCAATTTCGAGCGACGAGCGAGAAGCTGAGGCACGGTCACAGAAAATTGAGGAGCTCTACTCTCAACTAAGCTAGGCTTTTGCCGATCGAGAGACCCTCGCCAAGGAACTTAAAGCGACCACATCGGTGGCTGAAATAACCAAGGCTGATGTCGATGAGATGGTGGCCCAGTACAAAGCCGATGTTGAGGCAGCCCGGGACCATCTGAAAGATATTGTCGAATATGTGAAGCGGTAGTCTCAAAGAGAGGCCCTTGAGGAGGTTCATGCTTAGGGTTTTGATTTATCGGATGAGATTGAAAGTGCTAAGGGGCTCGAGGCCAAGGACAAGAAGTTGGCGTATCTCGAGGATGAAGAAAACTCTGAGGGTTCAGGCGGATCGGGGACGGAGAAGACTCTGATGGTCCCAGTGATGAGGTGGGCTCCGACGAAGACCAGGCTGTTTAGGTGCCTTGTAGATTTTTCTTTGTTTTTGCACCTTTGTTCTTTTTGTTAAGGTCGTTTGGCCTTTTAAAGATCTTTCTATATATATATATATATATATATATATATATATATATATATATATATATATATATATATATATATATATATATATATAAGGTTGTTTTTCCCTTCGGCAGTTTTTAAGCTTGTTTCCTTTCGCTCTTTTCTTTATGTATCGAATGCCTTAGCACGTAATAATTAGGTCTTGTTCGGAGGGTCGAACATGCCTCATTCCTGATACTATTTTTCTTTAGACTCGTGGGAGGCTTGGTACGACCGAAAGCTTGCCCCAAAGTACTTAGAATATTTTAGATTTATAATTTGCCGAGGGTAGCCTTTTGAACCGGTTTAGAAATTTTGAAGGCCTTATGTTTTGGTTACGGGTCTCGGACGTCTCCGAGCCATTCTAGGACCGTAGCCTTTTTAATTTGGGTTTTTCCCAATGGGCTTGTTACCCCGAGTCATCCGAACTTACCCAAGTCAACCGTCCCCGAATGGGGATGGACGTAGCCTTTAATGTTCGGGAACTGCCTGATAGGCTTTGTGCCCCCGGGCCTCGATGTCCCAGGCCGTTCGAGCCTGCTTTGGACAACAGTCCCCGAGTGAATTGGCCCTTGGGCTTGATTTCTTTAGGGGACCAAATGTAAGAAAGAAAATAACAAAAAAAAATTAAGGGACAAAATATTTATCCGCAAGTTAGAAACTTCATTTCATTCCTATGCGTAATATACAAG